TGTTTGATCATTTCGTTAATTTTGTTTCTCTTACCTCTTAGTCTCTCTTGTAATGCTGAACCTGCGGCTCGAGCTTCCTTTGTAGCGCGCCTTTTGAGCGCATTCAATAAATAAATAAATAAATAACTTCATGTGCAAGAACAATGGGAAAATAGGTACCCCTTAATCTTGAACATTCTATTTCTAGAGCAATGGAGTACTTTGAAAACCAAATATCTGAAATCATACACAAAGGATAGTTCTTGGGGTGTTAGTTAATCCCGTCTAAGTTAGCGCTCACGCATTCACTTCTTACAGAATCGTATTGAATGTGCGCGTGGCCTATACAATGATTTGTGGTGGCTAGCCGAGGTTCAAGTCGGTGCTTTTATGCTTCTAGACGAGTATGGCACCATTCAACCGATTTTTGAGGAATGGAAGCCTCCGTTGGCCATGACGGATGTTCACCTGGGATTCGAACCCGTGATCATGCGCGTGTGAAGTGCGCCACTTGCCACCACACCAAGTTTGCAGAGACAACATTTCAATTGGGTTAGCACTGAATCTATTGAATAGTTGAGGAAGAGGGAGCCGAATGTTGCCGAAACTTCCAGAACATTCCATGAAGTCCAGAAACCTGCGATTTTCCGGTAGATACTTTCTGAAGGACTTGTCAGTTAGACAATCACCTTTCGCTTTCATCTCCGAAAGGATACCGGCCAACAGTTATGCCTTAGCTATTCATTATCCAGAGGAAAAAGCGATAGCATGAAGAATTAAGATCCTATAACGTTTCAAGATCGGATTTTTTGAGTAGAAAATAACGCTTATAGTGTGTAAGAATGGGATTGGCAAGATTTGTTACTTCGCTGAAGGGTCTGAAGCGCTCTCTGAACATGGCTTACCTTAGTAGAGAAGAAAGAGTAATCAGCGGTGTAGGTGTTCCCGTCAGCATGCACTTAGCCATGAACAACGATTATTTGGAAGACCTGATAAATTTGAGCAGGACAGTCGCGACTGTTGAGATGGTTTGCAATTTCAATCTCACAAGAACGAACTAGAAGTAATTCGAAGCGGCTCAGAGGATCTGTATGGAGAAGGCTTCCTTATATAACACTTGGAAGGGATCCCATGGTAAAATAACTCACATCGCCTTTAATTCAACACATTCGCTAGGCGCGAGTTCCGCTAATGTCTCCCCCTC